TGTGTGTGTGTGTGTGTGTACATGCATAATTGCATGTCATCAGTGCAATAAATAGATCCCTATTCTATAGATCCTGCTGTCTTACCTCTCTCCTTCATGTTCTCTGTCACAGTTGTTGTGCCTTTGACATCAACTGTAGAAAAAAATGAAACACAAATATATTAAACATTCCATGCCTGTGCACAACAAGGATTCAATACCATAGTCAAAAGACGCATTCAAAGATTTAGCTCACTGAACAAGGAATAAAAACACAATGTTTGTAACAGGCTGATCTAGAAAGATTTTCTGACAGTCTTCCAAATTATGTTTGTTGATCCATTATGGGCCGTCTTCTGACAAAAAAATTAGATCCCTATCAATGTCAATTTGAAAAATTCTGACCATCTTCCAGAAGACCCAGAATCGCCCCTGTTTGTGTCTGAGAGTCTGTTTGTGTGTGTGTACATTTTAAGTGTGTTAAATGAACACCTGTTAATTGACCTTACTGTCTTACCTCTCTCGGATCCTTGCTGCCCTCAGCATCTGACACACTCTTTGTCTTTGATATCAGTTAAAGAGAAAAATGATATCAAATACAAACTTAACATTACATATCTGTGCATGTTCAAAAAGGATTCAGTAGACCTATTACAATTTGATGAAGACACATTCAGAGATTTAATTGACTTAAAAATAAATAAATAAATTATCTTCTTAAGTAAAAGACCATATATACTTCACTTGAGCAACATGCTTGCGGTGTGTACATGTGTATGTGTTTGTTAGTGTACATGTATGCGTTTGTGCAAGTATATTAAAATTCATAATAATATTATTTTACTGAGATTCCAGCCTTACCTATTTCCTCAAGGGTCTTAACAATTGCTACTGTATTCTCTTCTTTGGTATCACCTGAAAGAACAGAATTGAATTTTAAGGAATACCAATTATGTGAGTATGTTGGAGACAAAGAGAAGCGTGTTAGTCTGTTAATCTGATTGTATTCAGTAAGAGTTCCCATGGAGTTCGTGCACATTTGCTAGGTCTCCAAATTCATTATCAACAGCCCCTGAGGGTCCAGACTTGCACCCTGAGAGTCAGGGCGTTGTTGAATCCTTGCCAAAAGATAGAAAAATACATCTAGTTGATTGAATGGAGCAATGGTGAGGCCTTACCACTGGTGTGGACTTCAGGCTTGTACGTGTAATTCAACTCTGGAATAAGATGGCACATTTATTTGTTATTCACAAGTTATGATAAAGATTAAAATATAGACCAAAATGTATTTGACAGTGTTAAAGGACCATTTCAACATTTCTTTCCATAGGTAATACTTTATAGTATTGTGACATCAAGTAATCTTCTATTTCCATATGTAATACATGACAGATGTAAAAGGTAAAAGGGATAATAACTCTCCGTCTGGGCCAAAAAATGAATTTTCCTGGAGTAAACAACAACTTTCCCATACTTATCAATGATTAATGAATCCATTTTTACATTCAAAGTTAGTCCCTGTTTTTTTCTGAAAAGTTTTTTTTGTTTCCAGAGTATAGCCATCAATGGAGGTCATGTGGTCTGAAGACAAGCTCAGATATCTGAATAATATAGCTGTAACTGCTGTTTTTGTGGTAAAACAAAATATATTATATTTCTATGAGTTGTTCACAATGTTTTAATTGTGAAATACAGATCTCATACGAAGAGTTAGTATCCCTTTAGTTCACCTTTTATTTCCATTGGTTATATCATAGAGAACTATGAGATCAAGCACGTTTTATTTCCATGTCCAGTCCTCCCCAAGTACAGGTCACTTCCATGCTGTCCTTGGTGGTCACCTGGAGGCACCTGTTCCTAAAGGGTTCAGGCTCCCATGTCCAGCCAGAACCAGGGTGGTAAGGCTGAATGATTGAATGAATGAACAAATGAACAAACAAACTTACAACCAAACAAACACTCAGACAAACAAACAACAAACAAATAAATAAATAATTTGATGATATGTTAATGTCTCAAATGAAAAATGAAATATATATATACACACACTAACTGATAAATCAAATACACCAGAAGAAATTAATGAAGGTATAAATAAATACTTAAACATGTTGGACTTAAAATTTTCTTTTTCAATTTCAAAGAAAAATCATTTTAAATTTTTTACCTCAGATCATTATTTTTGTAAAAAAAAAGTATAATACTAACATTTTGTGGCTTAATGAATTTCCATTCCATATTTTAGCCCTTAGGCAGGAGAAACTCTTGCTGGGGGTCCCATCCCCCAAGGGCAGTTCCCCTGCTCACCACTTTGGCCTTCAATAAATTGCTGTTCAAAAGAAAAAAATAAAATAAAATAGAAAGAAATCCTATCAATACATCTTTTTGATATTTACACTGTAGACATTCAAATTGATCACTGGGATAATAACTGTTCGTCTTGGCCAATAATTGAATTTTCCAGGAGTAAACAACAATTTTCCCATACTTACCAATGTTTAATAAACATTGACACCACACGCATTAAATACCCCAAAGCAAAAATCATAATAAGTTGTATTTTACCTCGATGGGGAAATAGCAGGTTTAATAGGAAAGGAATGATGTTAAACTCTCTTCTCAAAGAACACTGCCAAAAACAAAATGTCCATTTCATGGCAAATACTAATATCACCGATAGGAGAGACTACTTTGCTTACGATGGAATACATCTAAATTACAAAGGAACTGCTGCGCTCGCTCGCGGTATCAAAACTGCAACAGGACAGACCCCATACCACAATAAAACATCTACTAAGGTGCGCACATGGCAAGAACCCTCAGCTCTTTCAAAGCCTTACAATTGTCTGGAAAATAGGAGGATGTATCAGCATCAGGGTAATACAACAAGCAATAAGTGGAACCGTCACGAACATAGAAATCAGAGCAACACTCTTGAAAATGAACTCAAACTTTTACGGGATTGTCTGGGTAAGCTAGAAATGAAACTACGCTGAAAATAACATAGTATAACATCATGCTTTATGCTACAACACTCTTACTGTGTTGACTTAATATTCAAATATATACTTTAGCCTATATCGAATGAATTTGGAAAACTCTTTACCTAATTATTGTACATACTTTTAATATATTGATGTTTT